CAGATGAACGAGGATTTTAAGCTGGATGGAGGGCCTAGCCAGGGCAGGCTTCCCCAGAAGAACAACAAGTCTTGATAACTTAAAACAGCAACTTAGGGCACTATACCGATGATAGAAGATCTCCATTAACAGCAGAAGCATCTTCTACTGGTGCAGAGAAATCCTGCAACCTAATCTAATGATTATTCCATGCATAATGCAATAGAGTGTTTGTTTATTGGCTGCAACTTTAAAGTAACTAAATATTAGTCTAAGGAAACAAATAGTAAGTCATCAAATAGGTAATCGAATCTACTGAACAAACTGTTAAGCAAAGAAACCATGCTGAAAGCAGCAGAGCCAATACCTTGCAAAGGTGGTGAAGAAAGCTGTCAGTGGTAACCCATGAATCGTCCAATATCAATGGTCGTTCTGTCTATAAGATTGTTTCGATTACCATTTAATTATAAACCATTGGGACCAAGAAATAAATTTTTTTTACATGTCTCCAAGATACTAAATTTCCAGATTATACTTCTCCTAGCCATGTCAGCATTCAATCCTTGACCATATGGAACCAAACCGAATAGAAGCTCAGAAGCTTTCAATATCTTGTGATCAACAGAAACTTTTTTTTTTAATACTTATACATACCGGCATAAATAAATGAAGCAGCTGTCTGCAGGTATATATATGCATGTGCACCCAAAGAGACCAACAAAATTTTCTAAGGCTTAATATATAATGCCAAATATAATAATAGATATGATGAGGAAATCTAAAAACATTATTACTTACTACTGCAGTAGAGCCAAATAAAAGGCTAACCAAAGACTTCCACTGCAGAAATGCTTCAAGTGACTGCCCCATCTGCATAATTACTACATTCTATAATCTGTAAATTACTGAATGAATTTGGAAAAAGGTAAAATATTTTTAAACTTGGAAAAGGTTATATTGGCATGTGCATACCAGAAACGTAAATTGCAACTCCCCAAGAAGAGCTTCTCCAGAACCTCCATAATCTTTCATTAGTAAGCTTTCTAATAATTGTGTCTGGTCAGATAAGTAGAAACATAAACTTTCTAATCTTTCTACTTATCCGACCAGACACAATTTAACAAGAAGAAAAGAAAATGGT